TTTGTAATTCCCATGAACATAAATAAAAATCATTTTAAAACATCAAAATATTTTATTTTTATAAGAAAGTAAATTTTTAAAAATATTTTCAAAACCACCTGCCGGCAGGAATTTAATAACTTCATGGGAATGCATAATAAATTAACTCATCATAATGAGCATACTGGATCCTATCTAGACATCCATCATTTTCCTAAATGAAATTTAGCAACCCAATGTTTCAGGTTGTGTAGCGCTTGCTAAACAAGCTTAACCATCACGTCAAAGCATACAAAATTATCAAATTGAAAATGACAATATCATCAAGTCAAAGGGACCATGTAACAATTTGAATTCTCTATCTCTTAGGTGACTCATCCTAGAGAATTCAAATACGGTCTAGTGCTACACACATCATAATGCGTGCTTATGACATACACCCGGAGAATCTCCATTCCCGATGGTTGAGACACACCACCATATCTCATTTATCAGTGTCATGCATAATAACCTGTTATAACAAAGTTATCATTTACTAGTTATATGTTAAGCATAAAATTAAGAAATTTCTAAGTTAGATCATATCTCCAAGCAAGTGACCATCACAGTGCATGATCTAACAAAATAACTTCTAAGGATATATATAACAATTATATAAATAATACCCAAATTATGTGCAACAATTAAATTTATTAACATTACAATATTATTACATAATATGTATTGGATGTTCAAGGGCAAATTATTATTACTACTAGTATTTAGACCCGTGCAAAGCACGGTTCCTAAAAGTTTTTTTGCAAATATTGAACATGTTATCAAAATAAAGCATTCTGCTTTAGATATGAAGTATAGTGGTGGAACTAAACCGAATAATTAATAAATAGTTTGATTATTATTTGTCCAGATATTCGATCGAGTTCGATTCGATAACTACTTCAATTAGTATTTAAGGCTAGGGTGTAAATATGGGCCTGAATTTTAGGCCGGTGTAGGGATTTTCATGTTGCTTCAATTAAAGATCAATTAGTGGATTCAATTAAAGATCAAATAACTACTCAAAACTGAAACAAAAATAGCACAATAAGGTCAATTATTTCAATGCATAAAAGTGTGAAAATATTTATCTAAAAATTAAATTTGAAAAGTGAAATAAAGTTACCGTTTCATAATTGTGATGAACTGAATTGACCCTCCGATACGATCATATCCATCATCATCTCTGACATAATCAATCTCCAATCTCTAACCCACAAACAAACAAAACCCATTAAAACTTAGCAACCAAATCTTCATTTAAAAAGCAAAAAAGATTACCTAAATCAAATTTAAACATAAGGATTAGGGATATGATCAGAGTCAGGCACTATTAAGATTAAATATATCAAATTTAATCATTATAAATAGAAATTATAATCTTTACCATGCTAAAAGAAGTAACTAAATAATCCAAAAACCAACAATCTGAGGCGCAAAAAAATAAAATTTAGATCAAATTCATCACCATGATATATATATATATATATATATCAATCAATTCCTCTAGAAACATTGATATTAAAATATAAGTTTTTAAAGGATTTTTCATGTTGCTATGCCGTAATATTCTACTTTTATGTTTTGACACCTCCCACCCCTTCGAAGACTGAACCTCACACATTCAAGTTGAAATGGGAGGAGAGCATCTCATAAAGTCTTAGGCAGTTTCTCCAACAATTCATCAACCTGCTCATCAGTATACCATCCCTGACTAAAAGGTTCCCACTGATCTCAGAAGCATTCTTGAAACCTTTTGGCCACGGACAACATCCTGGGAGGTATATCTTGCAGCTCAACCCCCGATATCATCCTCAAGCATCTCAACAGCAGTTCATGATCCTTAATATTGCAGGCCATCGTCATTCGGATGCCTTGGCTCTCAATTTCACGAAATGGGACAGCCTGAAATAATCAAGAAGAGAAAAGATGAGACCTTTCTTAAACCCTAATTCAACACAAAAAAGCAAAGGTAGGGAGAGACCGAAGAGAGACATGCTTCAATTCTCTAAAGCACTCGAGTCCTCCAGGGAAAGTGAAACCATTTAGAGGTTGAGGAGTGACGGAGAATTCAGTGGGAGAACAGATCTCGATGACGATGAGGAAGCGAACCGCCACCGCCGGCGGAGGACGATGAGGAGGATTGGAGTTGTTTATGGGATCAGGATCCTCTTTGGACGATGAGAGGGTAGGGCTGGGGATCTTACGACAGCGGAAGAGGCGCCATGGGTCATCGTCGGAGCGCTCGGTCGCTCGCATGTGCTTCTCGAGGGTGGCGAGGCGGTTGGCCTCAGCTCTCTGACGGTGCTCCTCCGTGATTTCCACGAGCGTTCATCAATCTCAATTTTTGATTTTTTTTTTGATTTTCTAAATCTTTATCTGAAGAAATATGGAGAGAGAAAGAGAGAGAATGGTGGAGAGTGTCAAAAAAGTGTACGGTTAAAGAACGCTAACAGATGGCCTTGAATGACGATTTTCAAGGAGAAAACGTGGGAAGTTTTTTTTAAAGGAGATCGTGGGTTGTAAACAGTGGGAAGTTTGGAGAAAGAGTAGCGATGTGGATTGGAATTTTTAAAAAAAGTCTGATTGGTCCACTTGAGATTTACTGTTCATCATGACTTTTTGTTGTTCTCCTTTAGTTTATAAGAAGTAGATTCCGGCATGCATTTCTTTACTTTAGGAGAAGCAAGATTATGGAGGCTTAAATTAAAGAGCCATTGATGCAAAGAGCTAATATATGAAATAGTACTCACATCTTGATAAGCTCTTGCTTAAGCTGTATCATGCATCTGTCAATTTCTTAACATCCTCCAAAGTTAAGCTCACTCTGCATAGCTTCGTTAGCATTATTTCCGGCCTCTAAGCTTGCTGCTCAACATTGAGGAGCCAAGTATCCACTTGTTTCAATAATTCCTCTTGAGTTTTTTCTTTTTCCTTCTAAAGTGCAAGCAAGGCCCTGTCTTTTCTTTTATCTAGGATCAGATCCTTCGCTCGATCGCTATAAAAGCTTGTTGGTCGAGATTTTAAGTGAATAAAAATAAATTCTAATACTGGCCGAGCTTTCGGCGTTGAGTCTTGAGAGAGAGGATCGCCTCGATCGACGTCGGTGATCTTTGGTTTCTTCACGAAAATGTTACCCATCGGAACCGAAGTTTTGTTTGTGGCGAATAGACCCCATATAGTATCGGCCCAAGTGTAAATACGCTCTCTTAGTAAAATTTTTGTACTCTTTTAAAATTCAAAATAAAGCTAGCAATTAAGGATCTACTCTCACCAATAGAGAACTATAGAGGGTCCACTAGACTTGTCTAACCTTTTTAACGATTTTTAGAGTTAATAAAGGGATCACTCATTCGGTCTATTTGCCAAAATAGAACTACTGGGGGTATGTTTGCAATTATCCCTTTCTTTTTTTTAGAAGCAATATGCTAGTTATTTCTGTGAGTTGATCAATCATAAAATAGACATGCGTAAAAGAAAACTTGGCTATAAACTTGGAAGAAGTATTTGACAATTATCAAATTAGTAAAAATACCTACCGAAAAATCTTAGTGAGTACATAGCCCTCAATGGAATTAGGTGGAATGACAAGATTCGTGCAGATGTTCTCATACTCTCGCAATAGGGAGTTTGTGGTTGTCTTAGGACCATATTTTTCAGTTACGTGCATATATATGCGCAACATTTCTATATGTTTATGTTGAAATTTCGGTAAAAATTTTCATTAAAATTTCAGTAAAAATACATCCAAAATCAAGACAATATATAGTTACCTGCAATGTATATGTGCGACATTTCTATATGCACATGTTGAAATTTCGGCAAAAAATTCCGCAAAATGCATATGCAACATTTCTATATGTTTATGTTGAAATTCCGGTAAAAATTTTCTTTAAAAAATTCAGTAAAAATACATCCAAAATCAAGACAATAGTTACATGCAAAGTACATGTGCGACATTTCTATATGCATATGTTGAAATTTCGGCAAAAAATTCCGTAAAAATGTATATCTAAAATCAAAACAAAGCATATATAGATCGCAGCGAAAAGGACAAAAAAGCCTCTACTTCCAAATACACGCGAGGCAACAAAAGAATTCCGTTGCCGAATTATCCCTTTCTTTTTTTTAGAAGCAATATGCTAGTTATTTCTGTGAGTTGATCAATCATAAAATAGACATGCGTAAAAGAAAACTTGGCTATAAACTTTGAAGAAGTATATGACAATTATCAAATTAGTAAAAATACCTACCGAAAAATCTTAGTGAGTACATAGCCCTCAATGGAATTAGGTGGAATGACAAGATTTGTGCAGATGTTCTCATACTCTCGCAATAGGGACTTTGTTGTTGTCTTAGGACCATATTTTTCAGTTACGTGCATATATATGCGCAACATTTCTATATGTTTATGTTGAAATTTCGGTAAAAAATTTCATTAAAATTTCAGTAAAAATACATCCAAAATCAAGACAATATATAGTTACCTGCAATGTATATGTGCGACATTTCTAAATGCACATGTTGAAAATTCGGCAAAAAATTCCGCAAAATGCATATGCAACATTTCTATATGTTTATGTTGAAATTTCGATAAAAATTTTCTTTAAAAAATTCAGTAAAAATACATCCAAAATCAAGACAATAGTTACATGCAAAGTACATGTGCGACATTTCTATATGCATATGTTGAAATTTCGGCAAAAAATTCCGTAAAAATGTATATCTAAAATCAAAACAAAGCATATATAGATCGCAGCGAAAAGGACAAAAAAGCCTCTACTTCCAAATACACGCGAGGCAACAAAAGAATTCCGTTGCCGGGACTTGAACCCGGGTCTCTCGGGTGAGAGCCGAGTATCCTAACCAACTAGACTACAACGGATCGTGTTTCGACTGGCGAAGTATATTCTATATTTCTAATATATCATTTTAAACAGCCTAAAAAATACAAATAGTTTTCCCTCCTTCGAGCGCGCACAAATATGCATCCTCCTCAATCCCTCAGCCCTCTCCTCTCTTCTCCATCCCTCATCCTCCAAAACCTCAAAAAACTAATCTCCGTTGGCTCATTCGAGCAAGCCCTCTCCCTCTTCAACCACCTTCACTCCTCCAACCTCCACTTCCAAATCTCTCCGTCGATCCTCCCCTCCCTCCTCAAAGCCTCCTCCTCCAACCTCCCATTCACGCTCCAACTCCACTCCCTCCTCCTCAAATCCAACCTCGTTATCCACCCGCCAACCCTCAACTCCCTTCTCTACACCTACTCCAAACACTCTGATGCCGTCTCCGCCCGGAAGTTGTTCGATGAAATGCCCCTTATTAGAGACCCCATCACCTGGGGCTCCATGATCAGCTCCTATTCCCAAAATGGTTATTTTCTTGAATCCTTAAAAATCTTCAAGGAAATGAGTTTGGTGGGTCTTGAGCCAAAACCCGAGCTCATTGCGGCTGTCGTCTCTGCCTGCAGCTGGAGGGGGAACTTATCTCTCGGGAGAGCGATTCATGGCCGTGTCGTCATTGGGTCTGTTTCTGATGAGTGTGTGCTCTTGGGTACTTCACTTATTGATATGTATATGAAATTTTGGGATCTTGATTCGGGCTTGCGGGTTTTTGGTTTGATGTTTGAGAGAAATGTGGTGTCTTGGACCGCCGTGATAAATGGTTGTGTGTCTTGTGGGAACTACAATTTGGCGATAGATCACTTGAGGAGGATGAGGATTGAAGGGGTTGAGCCTAATCGAGCGACGATGGTTTCAGCTTTACAACCCTGCGGTGAACTTGGGGCCTTGAAGCTTGGAAAAGAGATCCATGGGTGTGTTTTCAAACACGGATTCGATCTTGACTCTAAGGTTACTGGTGCTATGATCAATATGTACTCGAGATGTGTGGGAGGGATTAAACTAGCTTATCTCATCTTTGAGAGAGCTAAGGAAAGAGATACAATCACTTGGAGTTCTATGTTAGCAGCTACTTCAATGATTGGAGATTACGGCAAAACCTTTGAATTGTTTCAAAGGATGAGGAGAGATGGTGTTGAGCCAAACTCTATAACGATGCTTGCGATAATCGATGCCTGCATTGGCTTGGCATCCCTTGATCATGGGCTATCAGTGCTTAGCTACAGTGTGAAGTATGGCCTTATCTCAGATGTCAAGTTAGGCAATTCCCTCATCAGTATGTTTGCAAAGTGTGGATGCTTAGAATCCTCATCTCGAGTCTTTTTCGAGTTGATACCCACAAAAGATTCAATTTCGTACGGTAGCATGATTCAGAGCTTTGGTTTCCATGGTTGCGGCGTAGAGTCATTGAGATTGTTTGAAGAGATGCAAGAATTGGGCTTTATATGCGACGATATAACAATTCTTGCGGTCTTATCAGCGTGTAATCACTCGGGCCTCATCGAAGAGGGTAAGAAATTTTTTGATAGCATGAAGAGAGATAGCAACGTTGGATTGAGAGTAGAACATTATGCTTGCTATGTGGATCTCTTAGGGAGAGGAGGAAGGATTGAGGAGGCTCGTGAGGTTGTAAGAAAAATGCCCATCAAACCGAGCTTGAGGATTTTGAGCTCGTTGATTTCGGCTTGCAGAGTTCATGGTAGATTTGAGATTGCAGAGGAATTGTCTAGGGAACTCATTGATCTGGAGCCAAAGAATGCAGCAAGCTATGCACTGGTTTCTATGGTTTACGCTGATGAGCAGAATTGGGATGGGGTGAAGGAGATAAGGAGAGTGATGAGGGAGAGGGGATTAAGGAAGAATTTGGGTTGCAGCAGGATTTAGATGCTTGTTTTAATTTAGATATCGTGGAGCAAACTTGCACAGCTTTCTTTAATTTTTCCTGTAGATTTCTAACTAGTATTAGTGATTTTCTATAGAACCTCAAATTAATGTTTTCATCTACTATTACTACTTCTCTATGTTTCTCTTTTCTCAATTGCTTTTTCTCTTCTCTTGCAAGATACTAAGATTTCCTTTTCCCATGTATTGAGAGTGTTTTTTTTTAACGCCTAACATATTTTCTCAAATAAAGTGTAGTTATATAAATTTGATGTGGTTTTCACGATTGTCTAAAAATAGTTTTCTATTATTCGTCTACTGTCTAGATCTTGATAATCATGTCTTGCATCCTATTATCTTTTGTATATATTACTTGAAAATGCTCTATAAAGTTCGGACTAGGTGCATATTGGATACTTAAAGACAACCTGGAAAATATAGAAGTAATTAATATAAAATTTTAAATATCACTAAAAATAAACTGAATCGACTTTACCTTTTTCTTTAGATATAGATTCCTTTTCTAGAAAAAAAAATTCTTCTTTTTTTTTGTTTTAATAAAAATGCACGTTTATATGTGGACCAAGATCCTCCTTTTAATGGAGGCCCAAAATCTTGGGCCACCCCCGGCCCCCCCCGCCTCCACTGCCTGGACCGCAGTTGCGGTGGCCATCAACTTTTGATGAGGTTGATGATGACTGGGATCGCATCTCAGCGTTATCCGCAAGGACCCGAACGGCCAAAAAGATGACCAAACAAGAAGTCCACCCAACAGTTATCCCGACACGTAAGCAAACACGTGCTTTCCTCCAATAAAACAGCGGAAGCCTGCGCTCTTTACCCCCTGCACCGTACACGTGCTCTTTGGCATTCGTGCCGGCATCAAATAAAAACAACCGGTACGGTTTTCTAAGGTTTTAAAAAGTGGGGCCCGGTCGTGCTGCTGGCGGCATGGTGACGTGGCATTTGTTTTTCCGGCTCCAATTCGGTGGCGAGAACAGAGAAGAAACCGCCAAACAAAGCAATAAAAATAACAGCTTTTTTTTTAACGCAATTATTGCCACAAAAAAATAAAAAAAAAACTCGTAATTAAATTCGCTTGCTCGGGTCAAACCAGGCTTAGGCTCTGGATCTGGGACCGGTGCTCTCCGCGTCAACTTCGAGCTATTAATTAAGATTCCCGTGAGTGCTTCCTTCCTTTTTCCCTTTAATTCTCGAATTCCCCGTCAAAATCTGTGTCTTTCTAGATCCGGACAAGCCTCGAACGAGGAATTTCGACGATATTTTCTTGATAGAAAGGAGGAAAATATGAGGGCGCTGGCTCGAGCTCTTCGCCAGTACCGAGCTTGCTCTCGGTCTCAACGAGGATCGCGCGTTTACCATCCCGATGGATCGAGTAAAAACCATCATCAGGTTTTGATTCCGAGCCGTCGGGGCAGTGCTTATTATTTATCTAATAGTTATCCGCGAATAAAGGAATTCAGGACTCTGTCCACCGCTGCGGCCGATGACTCTCCTCAAGGTTTCATCTTCTCCCTTTTGATCGCGTGTTTATCTAGCTAGTTATTGATGCGTTGATTGATGTTGGTATTCATTCGTAGCTGCTGCTGGTTACGATGGGAAGGCAGGGCCTTTACACGAGTACGAGAGGAGAATTTCGTCAGGGGAACTTGTTGATGGCGATAGCTTCCAGGTTTTTTCGACCCGAGTGATCTCGATGCTCTTTACCGTAGGATTGTTGCTGTGTAGTCATTAAAATGTCAATGCTTCTTTTTTACCCCCTCTTTTTCTTTGTTTTTCAGGTCGGCACTCTTCGATTGTTGCAAAGGCTCTACGATCAGCTCGTCGAGAATGAGGATGACTGCCGGTTGGATAGATATAAAGCATCTGAAAAGTCTGGGAGGTAACTGATATTCTTGAATATGACCCTTGTATTGATAACAATATTTTGCCCAGGATAAACAATTTGGAGGAGGGTAAAATTATTCTATTTAATTTTTCTTTTCTTGACTACTTTCAACTTACAATCTACAAATTCATGCATCTATATATTCATGTATTTGACTCCTCAAACAACTAAATGATCTTCTCAATTCCCAAGGTAATTCAATCAAGATTATTTTCTAACATTCTCCCTTAAACTTGATCCTTCAATCATGCCAAGCTTATCTCGCAATAAAGTAAATACGTCATGCTTCAATGGCTTAGTAAATACGTCAGCCACCTGATCTTGCGAATTCACGAACTCAAGCTCAACTTCCTTGTTCTTTACTTGATCGCGGATAAAATGATATTAAGTATCAATATGTTTGTTCCTTTCATGAAACACTGGATTTTTTTAAAGTGCAATAGCTGACTTGTTGTCAACACAAATTTTGGTCGGTTTTTCTTGTCCAAGCTGAAGATCTTTGAGCAAGTTTCCCAACTAAAGTGCATGAGTGACACCCAATGATGCAGCAACATATTCGACTTCACAAGTTGAAAGAGTGACTATCGGCTGCTTCTTTGTAGTATAGCCGATAAAGAAAGCGTAACCAGTTGTACTCTTTCGATCATCAACGTCTCCGGCCCAATCACTATCAGTGTACGCACCGAGTTTAAAGTTGTTAAAACTTGAATAAAACAAACTGATATCTGTTGTACCTTTGATGTACCGGAGAATCTACTTTGCTGCCAACAAGTGTGAAGATTTCGGATCTTTCATGTATCTGCTCACGAGCCCAACACCATAGAGAATGTCGGGCCTTGTGCAAGTTAGATAGTGAAGACTACCAACCAAACTTTTAAAATAAGTTGCATCAACTTTGCTTTCACCATCTTTCTTGGACAACTTGACCCCACATTCAACAGAAGTACTCACATGATTACTATTATTCATATCAAACTTATCAAGAATTGTCTTTGCATATCCTTCCTAAGAGATAAAAAGTCCATTCTGCCTTTGCTTCACCTTGATGCCAAGATAATAAGACATGAGTCCGATGTTTGTCATCTCGAACTCACGAACCATGGAGCTTTTGAACTCCTCAAACATGTGTGGATTATTTTCTGTAAAGATTAAATCATCCACATACAAGTATAGAATAAGAATATCTCCAGCTTCATTTACCTTAGTATATAAGGCATGCTCATAAAGACATTTAGAAAAACTATGAGCTTGAAAGTATTCATCAATTCTGTTATTCCAAGTTCTTGGTGCTTGTTTCAAGCCATAAAGAGTTTTCTTCAACTTTAACACCTTTGATTCTTCTCCTTTCTTGATATAACCAAGAGGTTGATCTACATAGACCTCCTCTTCAAGAACACCATTCAAAAATGTCGACTTCACATCAAGTTGATAAATTGGCCATTTGTTCTGAGCTGCTAAGGTAATAATCAGCCTTATAGTTTTAAGACGAGCTACTGGAGAGAATACTTCGTCATAGTCAATTCCAGCTTTCTGCTTGTAGCCTTTGGCAACTAACCTTGTCTTGTGCCTCTCAACTTCTCCTTTTGTATTCTTCTTCTCTTTGAACACCCATTTGACTTTAATTGCTTCCTTCCCTTCTGGAAGTGTTGTAAGCTCTCAAGTATCATTCTTTTCGATAGCCTTGATCTCTTTATCTATGGATAAACTCCACTTTGGATCTTGAACCGCCTCTTCAAAATCTAAAGGCTCACAACTAGCAAATAAGCAAAATAATGTTAAATCATCTTGATTTTCAGTTACCTCATACAACTCCCTCAAACTCCTAAAATTTTGAGGTTTTGGACTCGATGATGATGAAGATGATACTCAAGAAGTCATCGACTGGGGCGATTGAGGTGTGGTTAGTGATGATATCGTCGGTGATGATAGAGTGGATGTCGATGGAGTATGTGCTGGAGCATCTTTCTCGATCTCAGATTCTTCATTAATAAAAGTAATCGGGCTGCTACAAATCTCTTCCTTGCTCTAGTCCCATGGTTTCTCTTCGTCGAATTGAACATCTCGGTTAATAATGAACTTCTTACTGTACGGGTCATACATCTTGTAACCTTTGGTTCTTGAATCATGTCCGATGAATACATATGGAATACTCCTCTCATCGAGCTTATTCCTCTTCTGCTCTGGAATATGAGTATAGCCAATACTACCGAACACCTTGAAGTGACTCACATTTGGTTTGTAACCGGTTTAGGCTTCTTGTGGAGTAATATTTTTGAGAATCTGAGTTGGACACCGGTTGATGATATAGACGGAGCAAGAAACAGCTTTAGCCCAAAAGGTTTTAGGCACTTTCTTACTACTCAACATGCTTCTTACCATGTTCAAAATAGTACGATTCTTCCTCTCAGCAATGTCATTTTGTTATGGAGTGTAAGGAGCAGTCAGAAAATGCCGAACTCCATGTTCTTCATGATATGCTTCAAACTTCTTTGAAGTGAATTCTCCACCTCGATCTGATCTGATAGCTTTAAGATAAAAGCCAATCTCTTTTTTAATATTAGCTTTGAACTTCTTAAACATAGAAAACACTTCAGATTTGTTCTTCAAGAAGTAAAACTAAGTCTTTCGAGAAAAATCATCGATATAAGTAAGAAAATATCTATTCTCACTGATTGAGATCGAAATGATTGGCCCACACATATTAGTATGTCCAAGTTGTAGTGGCTTCGACACATGAAATGAAGCCTCCTTTGGGAAAGTAGCTCGATGATGGTTCCCTACTAGACATCCTTCACAAAGTTGCTGGAGATGATCAATTATCGGCAACCCTTTCACCATGCTTCTGTCGGCCAATGTCTTCAGACTGTCAAAATTGAGATGCCCAAATCTCAAGTGCCATAGCCAAGCAAGATCGTTGGTACAAGTTTTCAAACATTTCACATCTCCACCTTAAAGGTTTAGTATGAATATTCGATTCTTCGACATCTGTACTTTTTTAATCAATCTACCTTTTTGATCTCGAAGAAAAAGACTACGATCTTTTGTATGAAAATCATAACCCTTTTCTAAGAGTTGTCCCAAACTCAATATATTGTTTTTCATATTTGACACATAATAAACATCAGTGATAAATTTTTCTTCTTCATTTTTAGGTGAATAAGAATTTTACCTTGACCTTTCACTGAAATCTTTGAGAAATCTCCAAAAGTGATCTTGTCATTCACATATTCGTCCATATCGATGAACATACTTCTCTTGCCACACATATGGTTGCTGACATCAGTATCAAGATACCAAACATCCTCCTTATCACCATCTCCTCTTAATGCTAATAGAAGAATATTATCATCATCTCATTTTTCAACATAATTCACCTTCTCTTCAACTTGATGACAATTAGAAGAATAATGACCATACTTTTTGCATTTAAAACATTAAACTTATGTTTTTTATCGGTTTGTATTAGATCTACCACGTCCACGGTTTCTCTAAAAGATCTTTAATTTTGATCTCTTTCTTCAAAGTTGTTGTGACTTCCTCTATCATAGAAACCACGTCCTCGGTCTCGAAATCTGCCTTGAAATCTTTCACGGTCACGACCGTCGTTACTTTCTTCTTTTGAAGCTTCTCAGTCATCCTTCAAAGAAAGCTTAGTTTGAAGAGTCTTCTCCACTGGCTCATTTCTCTTACTAAATCTTTTCTCATGAGCATTTAACGAACCCAATAGTTCATTAATTATCATCTTCTCCTAGTCTTTTGACTCCTCGATGGCACAAACAATATAGTCAAATTTCTGAGGAAGTGATCGGAGGATTTTCTCCACCACACGAACATCTTCGATAAATTGATTCACTACGGCCAAGACTCTAGTAAAATAGTCAGAAACTAGATCACTTTCCTCCATCTCTAAATCTTTGAACTCCTTTCAAAGTGTTTGGAGTCGCACATTCTTCACATTCTCTACTCCCTTATAGGAGTTTTGAAGTATCTCTCAAGCTTGTTTTGAGATCGCCGCATCTGAGATCTTCTCAAATGCCGATTCATCAACTCATTGGTAAATAAAGTAGAGAGCTCTACTATCTTTCTTACTGGACTCTCTACGAGAGTCTCTTTGTGCTGTCGATAGCGCACGTTCATCTTTAGGCTTTCCAAAGCCTTCCACCACAACTTCCCAACAGTCTATTGATCCTAATAGAGCCTTCATTTGAATGACCAGTTTTTATAATTTTTCTTGGTGAGTTTAGGAGCAACAAACGTGATCATTCCATTGGAACTTATCTTAGCTCTGGTACCAATTTGATAACAATATTTTGCCCAAGATAAACAATTTGGAGGAGGATAAAATTATTTATTCTATTAAAAAAATTTCTTTCTTCTTTCCTTGACTACTTTCAACTTACAAACCATACAAATATATACTACTACAATGACTCTTGAATTTCCCAACAACATTCATGCATCTACATATTCATGTATTTGACTCTTCAAACAAGTAAATGATCTTCTCAATTCCCAAGGTAATTCAATCAAGTTTATTTTCAACATGTATTAAGGTGGAGAGAAATATTTGATCAATTGAAGTAGTTTTCAATGGTGTACTGCATCACTTTTGTAGGAGTAGGTGGTTGTGGTCACGGCTCATTCCCCAGTCGTCTTCTTATTCTCCGGTGAGAGGACTATACCTTTACGGAGGAGTCGGGACCGGAAAGACGATGCTTATGGATTTATTTTATGATCAATTGTAAGTGATTATGATTGGTCTATTTATCTCTCATATGTTTACAGTATTCTTCTTTCACGGTATACAATAATCATTCTTTTCTTTTCTTTTCTTAGTTTCCAATTCTTGTTTGTATAATTGCTCAATATGTCTAGAAGGGAACATTTGTGATATAAGTGCTTTCAGACATCCGACTTAAATTAAGTTACATTACTCTCGATAATGTCAGCCAGTAACTTCTTCTCCTTTCAATTTGTTTGAGAGGAGCTGGTTTGCAACCGATGATGTATTTGGATATCTATATTAATATTCTAGACTATTGTGTAATTAAAAAAAATATCAGGATGCATTATCATGCTACATAGGCAAGTTGCTAGCAGAGAACTTTGTATTCTTTGTCGGACTTGGGATAACCTTGAGGACATATCTTTGAGGCAGTAATGCGAGTTCAGTTTCCTGATTAAATTCAAACTCAGGTCCATTGGAGGCATATTTCTCAATTCACATTTGATTTTTTTGTGGTACTTTTTAGTCATAGTTTTCTTTTTAAAATACCATTTAACTACATTCAATATCTTTAATTGTTTTGATTGCTGCATTAGTTGATACACACTAGTGATTGGTGTTATTTGATACCCTCATTTAAAGTACCCAAATCAAAAAGAGGTTTTGCTGGACATGTATTTGAGTCACATGGGCAGGTTTCATTCGGGTTTGTGCTTGTTAATGGTATAAGACCAAATAGTGGCCCTCATCACTAGCAGCCTAATCAATATATTAGGACGTCTGGATGGACATGTTTATAGTTCCATCTGGTTCACAGACTGGTTTTTCTCCTTTTCATTCTAAGAGTTATCAGTCCTAGATTTATTGTGATGATTTGTGCACTGTAAACTATAATGAGCCATGCACGTACGTATGAACCTCACACGTATTCTTCTATTTTATCACTACATTTGGACTCTTACATTTTATGGAATATATTACTTATTATTCCTTGTACAGGCCATCTAACTGGAGGAAGAAAAGAATACATTTCCATGATTTTATGTTGAATGTCCACAGCCGTTTACAGGTATTAATGCTTTGTACTGTTAATCTTTTACTGTCTAGGATGAATTATGTTAACTTCCCCACTTCTTAGTTGATAATGAAACATGTATGCACTCCTATTATTGCTGTACTATAATTGATTTTTTTTTGTATGAGTGCAGATGCATAAAGGGGTTGCAGATCCACTTGAAGTTGTTGCAGGGGAAATATCAGATGAGTCTATTCTTTTATGTGTCGACGAATTCATGGTATGTTAGAAATTCAGGGGTAGGTCCTTATGTCACTTCGTTATATTCTAGTTCTCCGCTATTTCAATGTGATTCTTCTTAGTAGTAATATGAAATTTGTAATTATAGGTGAATGATGTTGCTGATGCTTTGATATTAAATCGTCTCTTTGGACATCTTTTCAGCAAAGGAGTTGTATGTACTAAACTTTGCCTTCTAATCCTCTTAAATTGTTCTTTCTGCGCATAGTTTATTGTGTCTACTTCTTTAACTGGGAGATTTTCACCTGAGATGACTACTTTTCATTCAGGTTCTGGTCTCCACTTCAAATCGTGCACCAGATAACCTTTATGAAGGTGGTCTACAGAGGGATCTATTTTTACCATTTATTGCAACCCTAAAGGTACTTGTGTATTAAATAGAATGAAGAATCTGTCATTTTCATACACAACGCAACACATTTGCTTAAATTGAACCGATCAATGCAGGACAGGTGTATTGCTCATGCAATTGGTTCTTCCACTGATTACCGGAAAATGACTGAACCGATCAATGCAGGACAGGTGTATTGCTCATGCAATTGGTTCTTCCACTGATTACCGGAAAATGACTAATGTAAGTTTTTAAATGTTAGTGTATTGCTCATGCAATTGGTTCTTCCACTGATTACCGGAAAATGACTAATGTAAGTTTTTAAATGTTACTATATGAAGCTCCCAAAATTACTTTAAGCAACATATGTTTATTACTCTCTGCAGGCTGAACAAGGTTTCTATCTTGTTGGACATGAGTACTCTGGACTTCTTAAACAGAAGTTTCAGCAGTTAATTGGGGAAGGAACTCCTTTTCCACAAGTTGTGGAAGTTGTTATGGGAAGACAACTGCAGGTTTCTAATTTTTTGATGTATAACTTTCATCTGTTAACAAAGTCCGACTTACATTTAGTAAAGAAAATTTATTAATTGATATTTCCTTTTATTCAGGTTCCGTTAGGGGCTAATGGATGTGCATATTTTCCCTTTGAGGAACTATGTGACAGACCTTTGGGGGCAGCAGATTATTTTGGTTTGTTTAGTAAGTCATTCATCTGACTTGTGATTGAACTTTTAAATTTCACTATAATGCTAATGAATATATAACTGCAAAGCTTTCTTTTCTTTTCTTCCTTGTGAACAATTCTAATTAGATATTGTTGTTTCTTGTTCAGAGAAGTTTCATACATTGGCACTAGAAAGCGTGCCAAAATTTGGGGTCCATAACCGTACAGCAGCTTATCGGTTCGTTACACTGGTTGATGTGCGTAGATGCTTCCAACTAACTCTGATGACTTCATTACTGAACAGCTAGTTCATATACAGCCTAGTTATCGAGATTCATGCTATTATGGGATCTCAACCGTCATTTTGTTCATATGAATTGTACATATGGTGAATAAGTCATGATATGTGTTTGCTTCTTGATAAGTATTAACTTCCTTTTGCTACTACTTAACATTACCTTTAACTTTGACTAATTGGATTATCATTGGTTAGCACTTGTTTGCTGATGTGTGTCAGCGAGATTTTCATAAATGAATAGGATCTTAGTCATGACCCATGCACATTATACAGTTCTCTTTTGTGACCTTGTAGAACAATTAGTCACTGTATTGTCCAAAGAATTCTGAATATGCATGTTATCATGTCTGGGGGAGTAGCCTATTTTGTCACTTTTCCACTGCAGTGTAGACTTGTTTAAATACGATGACTGTCTAGCTGGAGAGAAGTACAGAGAAGTGATGCTTGATGACAAAGTGCTGTATATTACATATATGAAACCCTATTTTAAGAAATCAAAAGCATGTAACAACCTATTCAATTCTCTCACTCTAGTTATTAATTGGCACCCTTGCCTAGCAGTTGATCCTTACTCTTAATGTGCAAACTATCTTTCGACAGTGTGATGTTACAGCCCAACACCTATTAAATGATAAATACATTCCCTAAACAGAATACTTTTGTTTTTAATCTCCATTTTCACGTGGTCACTTAACTTGTATAAAGTACTGACAGTTCCTTTTCAGGTGATGTATGAAAACAAGTCCAGATTGTTGTGCACAGCTGAGACACCTCCTGTAGAACTATTTGAAAGAATCGTGACAATAGCTGATGCCGAAAAGATATCTCCTAGGACATCTTCTCGGTCACTGAAAAAGGATGACCTTGACCTCTGTGTGGACAATGAGCTAGGATTTGCTAAGGACAGAACCATCAGCAGGTAGGATCATCCTCAAAGTTTACAAAGTTTAATTTTCTGCCGAGTACTAGTTCTCTTATTGCTCAGGCAGTGACTAAACCTAGTTAAGCAAAGCTACAAAGAAATGACAAGTGTCACTAAATGACACATTGTTTAACATGAGACAACTTCAAAATGGAAGTGTTTGTTCTTCTAGAGATTGAAAAAAGAATACTAGTTTTAAGACCTTGATGCTGGTTAAGGTGTTCCTATAATTAAAGTAGGTATGCTCAACTGATAACAGAACACCAAAAATATAAGTTCAAATTGATAACCTCATGATTTTGGCGTGACCTCTTATGTTTTATCTTTTTGTCCATTTTGGGAGCTTCTGATGCATATAGTCATAAAGACTCCAACGAACTTCATTTTTCATTAGTAAAATCTTAATATGTTGTTTTAATGGCATGAGCATTGAGAGGATGCGCCCTCAAATCCTACTGTATTTAAGTCACATTTTTACAAATACTTATCATGTGATTGCACTGCCCTTAGATTATAATTGAGAACTTGTTAACTTTTGGTATCAGATGATATTTTACATTGGGCGGATGCACTTTTAGCACTTTAAACTTTAAACTAGCACTAGTACTTAATTAAGATGCTGAGATGTGGAATCCAATGTGATTGCTGCATGTAGTTGTAGATTTAGATTATGTAAGGAATCCAATGTGATTGCTACATGTAGTTGTGGATTTAGATTATGTATGTATATTATTTACAACAATCATCTGGTTTAATATCCGTGAATCTTGAATCATAGAATAGTCTGCAGAATATATTATCGCTTCTCTGTACTAATGCTCACAATTTGGGTTTTTTTTTGGTTGGAAAAAAAAGACATTTTTTAGTAATTTTTCTCTAGATAGGACACATTTAAAATTTAATTTATGGCCATATTTTAGATTTTTCTTGTTTAATATTGTTCTCAGGTTGACAGAAATGAATAGCAGAGAATATTTGGAACAGCATGAGGCCAGTTTGCAGGAGATGGCTTGCAATTCCTTATAACAGACCACCAACCTTATGTTTGGTGAAATATGCGACAATAATGCTTTAGGAGTTCGTAATTAAATGCTTGATCCCTAACCCCAAAAAATCTGTGATGGGTTGGGAAATGTTTGTACCTGATCCCAAATGAATAAAATCAACATAATGTACTCAATTTCGGGACTGTTTTACAATGTAGATTGTGGTATTTAGCAGAATAATTAGTCTTGCTGCTAAAAATGAAACATTTGTATGTTGCAAATCAGAAGCAAGCTGTCATGATGCTTGGGCAACTTAATTCGTTAAGCAGTGTTTGAAACTAATAGATGATAATTGGAAAACAGAGAAGTTTTCGGTAGATCTTAGATATCTCCTCTCTTTCTCCAGTCCTCAATCCTATGTTTTGCGGTATCATTAAATTTAGCTTTATTTCGGATATTATTTGGGTTGTATCCAATGATTTCTGATAATTTCACATGTTACGAATTTTTGCATTCTGAGAACCTGTCCATTCCTATTTTTTTGCAAGGGGAATGTGATGCCTACAAATTTTTTTTTTTTTCATGAGCATGAGATGAAACTCGTGGATTCTACTTTTTCAAGGGAGGGTTGTGTTCGCTGTTCAACTTTACACTTCAACTTCAAAATCACGGGTACTCCTAGGTTCATTTAATCAGTCCTAGTCTCAATCTTAACAATGTCACTTGTCTTCTGAAAAGGATTTTGCCTTATTTGAAATGATAAAATCGATTTTACGTACAGATATGTAGGTGCTTGAGTTCAGTGACAAACCCTGTGGTGTCACAAAATACCACAAGTTTGTTTGCTTGTATTTATTACTTAAGACACCATTAGAAACAAAATCCTGGATTCACCGCTAATTGAGTGAATAAATATCAAACTATTTGATTGTCATTTAATCAGCTTCTCTCCCCCTATTTTGTATTCATGCATTTCGGACGTTTTTCATGTGAAAATAATAGACTTAGGGGCTGTTTGGTTGCACACGAGAAAACTTTTCTCAAAACATCTGACAATGACAAATTTGTAATTAAAAGTTTTCCAGAGATTTCTGTAAATTGTGTTTGGTTCAACAAAAAATTTACAGAAATATTTTCTATAAAATATCAAAACCTACCAAATTTTACAAAAAGCAATTTCCTCTCAAAATGAGAGGAAATCACCAGAAATCTGACACATACCATATTTAATTAAAAACCTACCAAATCTTGTTATTTTCTATAAAGTTATGAGCTATTTTCTTGTTTTGAACCAAACAAGCAAAGTACAAAAAGGAAGAAAATTAGTACTTTTTTATTTCTCAAAACTTTTCCTATAATTTTTTTAAGAAATACAAGAAAATCATATTTTAAGTGGAAAACATTTCCTATAATTTATAGAAATTGAACCAAACACCCCCTTAATCAAGTTTTTACAATTCGGGAAGTATGTGATATTGAAAATCTTAAATTTGACTGAAAATTGTTAACATAGAAACTTTTTCAATCATGATCAATTTAAAATACTTACAGATTCCATACCATGTATAAACCCACAAAAAATTTAGAATTTTCGATTTACCCTGACAATTTTCCAAACGTCTCCCCCTTTTAGGCGGAATGTTTATGCTCCTGATCATGATATCAACTTTATTTCCTTAAGAGTGCACCACAATATACCAAAGATCTCTTTATTAGAGAAATGAAATGAAGATCATACTTTATAGCTGTCACGTGTAAATTGCAAAGACAGCAAACTTCCAGCTTGTTATATAGTACAAATTGTTAATAACTAAGCAAAATATCTCCTTAAATTTAACACCCCAAGGAGTTATGATCAATGAAGCTTGATGTTGCTTAGGAGTAAAGAGAAAGATATGCAATCAATCTTTCCATTGTTTGTGGAGTGTTATTTTACTAGTCAACCTCTGACCAGTGGTCTAAATTGTCATGCAGAGATCATGAAAACATTTAATGAAAGTATATGCAAAGGTAAGACTTTGAAAGAAAATTTAGAGGAAGCAAAAGCAAATTTGAATAGTAAAATAGTTGACAGCATTAGGTATTTGTGTAATTACAATAAGGCGATGACTTCAGATGACCTTTTTCCTAAATTGAATTTTCTAAAGAAATTAAATTTACAATGTAGACCTTTTCTACAAAGATAAATACTTAAAAGCACTCCTAAACAAGTGCAATTACAGTATTTACAGCGACTAAAACCTTCTTACAGGAATATTCAAATCTTACGTATGCTAGTGAAAGATAATTGATATTGGGAAATATCCATAGATTTTTTTTTAACCAAGAAGAAAGGAAAAACTATCCCAAAAAAAAGATTCAATTTATCATTTCCTTGTGGATATAAAAATCAAATCAAAAGGAAAATAGTCGTTCCCTTCGCAATCTAGCAAACACGATACTTGAAAAACACGTGTCCACTGTCTCCATGTGGCGCCATTTCGATACAAAACTCAAAACCCCCGACCCCTCTCTCTATAAATTCCCCTTAAAACTTTCACCGTCTCTCTCTGTCTCTCTCATCCCTCTCTCTTTCTCTCTCCTCACGAGAAAAGAAAATAAAAAGCGCGGGTAACATCGATTGCTTGTTTACAGATCTAGGGTTTTTTTTCCCTCAGATCCGCTCCCTTCCCGATCACCGAACCAATTTCTATTTATTTTTTCACCTTTTTTCCCTTCGGAGAATTCTATGGAGAGGAAAAAGTATCCGATTAGGGCTGAGGATTACGAGCTCTACGAGTTGATTGGAGACGGAGGGAGCGCGATCGTGCATCGCGCTCGATGCGTTCCCTTTGATGAGATCGTGGCCATCAAGATTCTTGATTTCGAGAGTAGCAGCGATCTGGTACGTTCAGTTGCGCATAAAAAAATTGATCTTTTTTGTTTATAAACCCAAAGTTTTACCCTTATTTAGTCTTAAAACCATCCACTTGCGAAATCATTCATTGCACTTCGGCAACTTTTGTTCTTAAAAGTGCTTTTATCTTCGGTGAAGTAAAAAACTGAATGGATTTTTTTGACTGCTGCAGTGAGCTAATTATTGAACCTAAATTTGAATTATCTTTATGGTCTGTGGAAAGTAATTTTCAGTTCAGTTAGTTATTTTTTATGAAATTAGACTTCTGATTTCGTGCCATTAGTGTCATACAATGGAATTGCATCTCCAGATATTGAAATTTGTATACTTTTAATTGCTTGATGGGAAAATAATCATAAAATATGCATTAGAACTCAGGTCCACTGATACATATTCTATCATGACGTTGATCTTGTTCAAAATATTTTTTTTTCTACAATATATTGGAAAAATACCCAAATTTAATTGGAAGATCTTACAGATCTTACATTGGTCTGGATACAGTTCAAATATGATACTTACCATATTTGTATCTGCTTGCCAATCACATAACGTTTACCAATCATGTATACAAATACGAATTGGTAAGGAAAATTCATATCCATATCTGCTATAATCGGATATACACGCGGATATGAGAAAACTAGATATTATTGAAAAAAAAATAGTTCATATAGTGCAAGAGAGTTCATTAATATGTTCATTATATCTAAAAAGTTAAGATTAGACACTTTGATCATCAAAATTTGCTTCAAATTCATTATTCTAAGGATTAAAGCTGTTGAATCCATTATTCTAAGGATTAAAGCTGTTGCAACAGTACTAGCAATATACATTCGGATATTTTGGATACAGATCTGGATATTCCACTACATAAACATATCCATAAATATATCCTATAGGTTATGGATTTTCTTAACCATATATGTATCTAACGCAATACAGATATGGATACGGATATTTCCTTAGATACGGATATTTTTGTGTAGCCCTAGGTAAAAGCATTAAACATAAAATGAATAAAATGATAGAATACAATAACATGGATGAGATATTTTGATAATCCTATCACACATTATGTAAAATTGTTTATTGCTTACACACGAGCTCAGGCATGAAGATGGTTGATGGATTTCCTTCTTAATTTTTTTGTCATTTTAATGTGATATTGATACCTTGGTTTATTCAACTTTACTTCTTAGTTATGCAAAAACATGAGATATTTTCTTTTTTCTGGTATATGCAGACTACAATTTCTCGTGAGGCTCAGACCATGATTTTGATCAACCATCCAAATATTCTAAAGGCACATTGTTCCTTTGTAAATGATCATAACTTGTGGGTTGTCATGCCATATATGGCTGGTGGGTCCTGTCTTCATATAATGAAGTCTGCGTATCCCAATGGTTTTGAGGAGATTGTCATCGCTACTGTTCTCCGTGAAGTATTAAAGGGCTTAGAATATCTTCACCAGCATGGCCATATACATCGAGATATAAAGGTAAATAATCCTTGTTTTATTTTGACTTCTTAATACTGGTTTATATGTATGTGTAGTTAGTATATCTCTGGACTTTTATAAAATATTTGTTCCCTGTGTTAGCTATAGTAGATTGTGCTGACACGTCAGGTCAACTGTCTACTTATATTATGTCAAGATAACATGTAGTGTTGAGATGATCATGAAAACAATCAGATATGTATTCAGAAGACATTTTTATTTTATTTTATTTTGGGACCCTCACGGAGGTATTGGTCAATTTCATGTTCAGTCAGGTTACAGTGTAGAGACCCAGAAATTCTTGCAATTTCACATGGCACATTTAATGGCCGTTTGGTAAATTTTTTTCTTAGATCCAACTAAATTGTTGTGGCTCCTGTAAATTCAGATTTGCTGGAACCACCCCCCGCGGAAAGTTTGGAAATTCTATTTACATTTTGACCGTTATGTCTGGACATTGGAGAGCTAAATTTCTTGTGATTTTAATCTCTAGTATGTTGGACATTGATTTCAGGGTAAGTTATATATCTATACCCTCTTCTAATCTTGATCCAAGTGTGCCTCTTCTAAAGTTAAAATGATGGGTGTTCCCCAGTTCTCTAGCTTATGCTGCAATTAGATCATCACCTGAATGGTGCAACCTATGGGAAATATAATCTACCTGAGTTTTGAGTGAGGAGTAATTTTATATTTGGGAGAGTAGAAAACTCAGCATAATATTTTATGGGAAAGGAACTCGGTGAAATAATATGTAATTATCTGATCAATGAGATTAAGAGGACATATCTTTGTGTTAAAGGAAAATGTTTAAGATGGTGTGCTGTCAGCAATTGAAGTATTAGATTTGGGAAGACCAAGGAGTCAAGGCACCTGAATAATTTAATGAAGTACTGTGCTTTGTAGTTCTCTTTCAAGACAGTTAAACTTCCCATATCTTTCTTATAATTAATCAGGAATTTTTGTATGTTTTTAGATAACAGTACTATGTTAAAGATCATCTGCATCTTATCATATACTCTATATATTCCTCCTTCGTACCTTTTTCTGATTATTTGTCATTTCCGTTATCGTGGTGGTTTGGGTTTTGCTTTAGTAACTTGTCCTTGAAGCGATTACTTCTTTTTGCTGGAATCATCTTATTCTAATTCCTATTTGCTTGAGACCTGGAATGAGTTTTGTACTGAGAGTAAGGAAATTGGTATTCTTACTTACCTTTCGTCTAGATTGTCTTATGCTGACTCTGACTGTATTTCGTCATCTTAGGTTTTAATTCCATTTTACCTTATTAATGATGCAGACAGCTTTCTAACTTTAATATTTTGTTAGGCTGGTAATATCTTAGTTGATACACATGGAGGAGTGAAGCTCGGAGATTTTGGTGTTTCCGCTTGCCTTTTTGATTCGGGTGACAGGCAGCGTACTAGGAATACCTTTGTTGGAACACCTTGCTGGTGCGTCCTTTGAAAATTTTTAGCATGGTTACATAATACTAATTTTGCAGATAGTGACATCTGACTTTTTTTAATCTTCTTTTTCTAGGATGGCACCTGAAGTGATGGAGCAACGATATGGTTATGATTTCAAGTAGGGTTTGTGACTTCTTTCGCTGTTTATGTGGTTTAGTTTAGTCCATTTTGTAGATCCCAGATCTCACAGAATATTTTCGTAACAAACTGCAGGGCGGATATCTGGTCTTTCGGAATTACGGCGTTGGAGCTTGCTCATGGGCATGCTCCTTTTTCTTCTCAGCCGCCTGTAAAGGTATTATAGTCATCTGAGTTTTCTTCCTTGTGTTTTCCATTTGCATTTGCAGTTAGTTCCACAAGGAAAGAGGATTTTGGTACAATTAGCTAATGCCCTTTGACCTTGGTTCATTGATTTTCACCTAAAATATGAATATCTGGAAAGCTATGCAAGAATGTTACTTTCTGTTATGCAGCATGTTCTCAGTGATGCCTTCTCTGAAAAAGTTTATTTTGCAGGTCTTTCTCATGACCTTGAATAATGCTCCCCCATCTCTTGAATCTAGAAAAGACAAGAAGTTTTCGAAGGTTCATCTCCCATTTTGTACATTTTGTAAAGCACTGTCCTGTTTGGAAAAGCTTTTTTTCTTATGGTTGTATTTTGTCATTGTTAGGCCTTCAAGCATATGATTGCTACCTGCTTGGTAAAAGATCCATCAAAAAGGCCTACTGCACATAAGCTGTTAAAACAGTCTTTCTTCAAGCAAGCTAGGTCCCATGACTATATTGCACGAAAAATCTTGGAGGGTTTGCCTTCTCTGGAGGATAGGTTTCATGCATTGAAGGTACTTTATGGTTGTACAAATATTTGAAGAACTCAGATTCTCATTCAGCTTAATGTATTCATTTGATGGTTTTACTTGACTGCAGCTGAAAGAAGAAGAGCTGCTTGCGCAAAAGAAGATGCTTGACGGGGAAAAAGAAGCGATGTCTCAGGTTTTTTTTTTTTTTAATTTCAGTTCCTCCTTTATGGAATTCTATAAGAAAACTACTTGTTAATACCGTGTGTTGCAACATTTTGTCAATAGTGCTTATTAGTTTATGTAAGCACTGGGCGATAGCCCCAGCACAGACTTCGTCTATCATTAATTATAAGTGCATATAGTATACATTGTTCAAATTATATTATGTACAGCACACTTTACATTGTCCTGACACTATAAACTTACGGTCAACGTAGAGTTTGCATTGCAAGTGTGCAACCATATTTTGGCACCAGTGCAACCACAATGAAACAAAACCCTTATCCCAACTTTTTATTGTTAGCTACGTTAATATTTCTTTCATTAAGCTTTTTCTATTGTTCTGTTGGGGTGTTGACCAAGGTTCTTTCACCTGCTCCTAGCTTACATATGATTGCCTATAAAGCACATGCTTAGACACTTAGTATATCTGTTTCTTCTCCATTTATTCTCAGTTGAAATACCTCTATTTCCTTATGGATGCACTTTTGGCGTCCACCTCTGGTTAACATAGTGATGTATTACCCAGTGTTTTCAATGCGCGAGGCGCAATGCGAAGCGCAAAGCATCTTTACGCGCACATGCGCAAGGCGTAACGCGATGCGCGCGCCCGAGTGATGCGAGGCGCACACCACACACATAATATTTCAATATATGTAATCAAGCACGAAAGAACATATTTTTAGAATTTACATAAAAAATATCATGATAAATAATATCTTGCTACAAAATCACAATATATTGCCTTAATTTCTAATGCTAACACCCAACATAGTAGCAAATTTCATAAATTTTCAAATCAAATGTTAAATCAAGACTTATATCCAAACTAAGGATTAGTAATGGTCCTCAATTGAAGGTTATTAAAAAAGCACAATGGATTTATTTTGTTTTTTGGGATATGGAATATCAAGTATAAAGACTCGATTATAATGTTAACAAAAAAAACTATGTGAGGAAATGCACTACATGCATCCTACACAAAGTACGGATGTACGCGAGGCGCAAAAGGCGCTGCTGCATCAGATGTGGGGCGCATCGTCACTGCCCCGCATCGTAAGGCGCATGAGGCGCAATGAGGCGCGCGCATTTGAAAACACTGGTATTACCTGAGATGATATTTTGGAGCTGTGTGGCATCATTGCTGAATGCTCATCCTGGAGTAGTAAGGGAAGCTAATTCTTGCTTTTCACTGAACTAGTGAAATCACCTGCCAAATAGGTGTCAGGTATTGTAAGTTTGAAATTTCCTTTTATGAGGCTACGAAGGAGACAACTCAGAAAAAACACTACTCAACTTGCTAAGTCCACAACTGATGAACAGCTTCAGAATGATTTCCCATTGGGTTTTCATGAGACAAAGGAGTCCCAGGTGTTGTCTGTCGTGGAAACAAGTATCAATGGCATGAAAGCCATTGCTAGGCCAATGAAGTTCCTAACTGGTGCATGAGTTAACAGTTCTAACCGAATAAGATGCGGTCTTATAAATTCTAATCATGAAAACATCTCCACCAGCAATGACCATGTTTAGAAGAATAAAACATCTCTAGAATACCTGACAAAATATACAGTATGAAAATAAGAACATAATCCCAATAGATGTGTCATTACGCAAGAAAATGGTTAAATCAATGTGGAGTGCGTACTGCTGTGAGTGGTATGCCACAGATCCTTGGATAAGTGGTTAGATCTTGAGATGGTTATAAGTTCTCATTCCATATAATATTATAATGTTTGGAAGGCAGAAAACATGGTCAAGGTGTAAGAAGAAGCTCCTACGTAACTTCAGACGTATTTCTGTCCATGGTGCCAATAAATAAATATAAAACATAATTGAAATGGCAAAACAGAAGAAATGTCGATTAGGTTGTTTGTGTGTGATTGATCTCAAAAATATATGTAGGTGTACGAATTAGTTATAAATAGAATGCAGATTTTGGTGTTAATTTGATTCTTCTAGAGATTAAAATCAAAATATCGGAAATTGGAGGAATTTAGACTGTATATAGACTAGAATTTTTAGTTACTATATTCGAAGAAGGTGGGATGAGGAGAGAATGTCATGTTTGAAGAGCAAGAGGGGATTCTTTGTGGGACAATTTGGTGGATCACAGGCCAGGCCAATAATTAGATGTAACAAGGGACCAGTGGGTGCACTCTGGTGTCACTATTTTTTTTGAACATAGAATACGAGCTCTCCAAGGATATTTTGAGTTATCATCCTACACATTTAGTGTAAGTATTTTATGATACTTACCCATATATTGCTGCTTGATTGTTCTTTTCTATGTCGTGCATTTTTCTTTAGACGATAATTTTTTTTCTTCATGAAATAAACCAAGCATGAAATTTGATGTCTTTCAAAATGTGTAGAGCGAATATAAGAGGGGAATAAGCAGCTGGAACTTTGACATCGAGGACCTAAAGGCTCAGGCTTCACTGGTACATACGTAAACTGTCAATTCTGGACTATGTTGTTCTGAATTCCTTTAACCTAACTGATTTGTTTATTTTGGCATTTTCCAATTTATATGGCATCATAATATCATACACATGACTTTTCAGATCCCAGATAATGAGGATGGTGTCTCAGGTAAAGATTCGGAGGGATGCTCCAATTCATTGTTTGATCTCGATACTTTGCATGAAGTGCCTCAAAGCATTCCTTCAGCCACGGTGTCCTCCGTGAGGAATGATGCTCATGTGGTAAGTTCAGTCTTTTATGACAAGAAGTTAAACTTTATTACAATTCTCAACACAATGGTATGTTGGCAGGTAAATGATGGAATAACAGACAGCAGAATTGATTCTAATTCTTCATCCAATCAGGCATCAAAATTCCAAAGGTCTTTGACATTTATCTGTTATTTTTGCTTAATTATTCTAATAACTGCAGTTCCTGCAATTCTTTAGTACCATTGCTTGTGAGCGATGGGTAGGCTTCTTCTGCATTGTCACATCATCATTGTTTTTGGAATGTTAACGAAGTTACCCGACATGTACCCGTACCCTTACCCAAACTCCTTGGACACTCCTTGCATATATGCATACATTTATTTGGTCATGTACTCAATTATACAGTACATGTTTTAATTTAAAACACTTGTCTTACAGTTTTTGGACATAATATCCTACACTTCACATCCACTTCTTGAAACTCGTTGGTCATAGGTTAGGTTCCGAATTATGATTTTGAATAGTTCAAAAACTAGAGATTTTCCTATTTATAATCCACATAATAAAAGAAACATAAACATGTTATAGGAATTTTAATTCTCATCCTTGTTCTCATATAAATTATTAATTCCAATATATAATATATGTGTATGTAAAGAGTTATGTAGTCGTGTCCTCATACCCTACCCTTTACAAATTTGCTGTGTCCAGTACACATACCCGTACCCATGCAACATAGATGTTTAGTTTCCTCCAGTTCCAAGTAATAAATATGCATGTTGAATTCCGAAACTTGAAGTTATGACTTTTCTAGAAGTCATGTATAGTATCTGCATTGTTAATCCATTCTAACAGCAAAAGCTCGTAATATCTTTTGTGCACATGCAGATCAGATGTTTCTGACAATGAGCTTGAGGTTTCTAGGAAATCAAGCAATCAGAATGACATCCACGATGTTATGGAGTTCCATGGAAATGGTATCACAAATGATTCAAAGGCAAGTTGCAAATCGGGGATTGATGAAAAGCATCTTGACAGCATAATTAGCGTCTCCCGTGATTGTCATGGAACTTCAACTAGTCCAGGCTTACAAGATATTACTTTATCATCCAAACAAGAGAGGTTGGCATCAATTTAAATTAGCAGTAATAAATTTAAGAACTTTATTTTGGGAAGGTATTGCTATCATTTACTTAAGTACATTTGGAAGCTTAATGTTTGTAAGTTGAACAAATGTTATATTACCAATAATGTTAGACAATCTTTTATGTCTCTATATATGTTTACTGGAGAAGTTCATGCATGCGGTTATAAGATTTTCTAAAAACACTTTTGTTCATTGATCAAGTTACGTATCTTTATTCATACAGGTTCTGAATCGTCCAGTAAATAACAGTATCAGCATCTTCATTGTCCTTTTTTTAATCGTGTTGTAGGCTATACTTGTTTTTGCATATTTGTTTAATGTTTTTAACGTGCTAGTGCGGCATCGTTTGATTGTTTATTTTAATTGTTATCTTTAGATCAGAACTGTACTCTAAACTACAAAATATTCTGATATTTTTATATTTATTATCAGTGTGAAGCAAAATCATCAGTTAGAGAACATGGAAAACTACAGTACTCCTAATGCAATAACTGATATCTCTTGTGAACCAATACCTAAGATATCAAAACCAACAGGTACATACTCCATCCTTCTTTTTGTCAATTCTTCTAAGGATATATATTTTGTTAGTTTTATTATTTTATGCTAGATATCCACTATTTAATCGTGAAATCAGTCCTCCGTTCCAATGTGTTCTCTTTCAGCTTCCAATGCTGATGATAATGATGAAAAAATAAAAGCGACGTTAGTGCAACAGAAGGGGCGGTTTAAAGTAACATCTGAGAATGTTGACAAGGTAAATTCATATTTTCACTTTTTCCTCCACTAGTTTTGTTTCAGTTCTGATGGTTACTGTTTGCTTTCAGGCCCTTCCAGCTGCTGGCCAACCTAAGAGTCCCAGCGCACAGGTCCTATATTGTCTTCTTCATTGTTTATCACTTAGTTTCCATGAATGCTATATTTTAGGATCTAAACAAGCTTAAAGTCAAATGAAACAATAGTTGAATTTGTACCCAATGCTAAACCATGAAAACATTTGTTTTAAATTGTTGAATGTTGCACGAACGTGTAGATACACCCGAAAAGAGTATCTTCCAGTGACTGTGTTGTGTACGGATCAAGGAGGTTGAGATTTTGTACAAGTGCCCATTTATTAGCTAGGATTCAAATTGATACATCTATATTCCCCTCAAGAGCTACCATTTTCAAATATTTGGTCCTTATCTTTTGCAAAACCAGCAGCCTCTTCTAGAAATAAGTGCTTCATAACTCCACATCTTAAACTATACAAAATCATCAGTACAGAATAAGGTAACACAAGCATTCAAATTTTTTAAATGGCATGCATATATCTTTTATCTATGAAATCCTGAGCTTCTATCCTACTTAGACTTGTGGCGACCAGTTCTTATCTAAACTTATTTTCGAGCAACGTAACTTATAAAGGGAAAATATGATCATAATAATTTTTGGATGCAAGTGTTTGGTAAATAATCTGGGCTGTCACTTCCTCTTTCTTGTTATTTGGAGATTAGCTTTCCAAGAAATGTTAATCTGATTTAAATAGAAAAGTGAAAGTTTTTATCAATCCTTGCAGCTGGAAGCAGCAGAAGAACGGGAGAAGCAATTGTTGCAGGAGATTGCTGATTTGCAAAGAAGGTAGGTACTCCTGAAAAGGAACTTGGGAAAAAGTATACCCTCTCATAATATCATTTTGTTATTTTCTTGATTTTTTTATTATTCTTTTTGCAGGCTCATGCTCTCCGAGGAAGAACTAAGAATTACAAAGGCAAAATTTGCTCAGGTCTGAACATGTATATGTTCCTTCATTTTCCATATGTCAATTAACCTTCAATTATTTTCGCCAGCAATTTTTATTAAGAAGGTTGGGTTGCATCAGTAACGGAGAAGCTTTGTCAAGTCCATTAGATTTGTTCTTGTGATTTTGTTTACCATCTTAATTGTTCTCCCCGCTTCTGATGTTTTCATCATGCTAGTGTTGGACATATTAATTGTATTATCGTTATTTTTTTTTTGTTCTGTTTAAGATGTGGTTTTTTAGTGACTTACTGACTTCAAACTCTCCTTGCTACATTTTGCTTTTTGATGACAAATCGAAGGATGTCAGACTCAAATCCGATCTGAATGATGTTGGCAACAAGAAGCAGAATCATGATGCAGAAAGATTGAATCTTGCAAATGATTGAAGATAATATATAAATTATGGTTGTTCGGCTATAATTTGTACATATGATTTGTAATGTTGTGATATAATCACTAGATGGGTAGTTCTGGGCAATTATGAGCTAATACTGTATGTAGTGTTTTGATTGCTCAAGTTGTCTGAGCGTAGAATAATGATGTACGGACTATACAGCGTTCTCCTGGCTAGAAGTTCGACAAATCATGGATGTCCATCTTGAGTAATTGATTTGTAATTGTGTGTTGTGTTATACCTGCATCAAAATTATGGATACTTGGTATGTTATCGTTAATGTTATCTTTTGTGTTGTGTGGAATCAAGTTTATTGTTTTTCCCCCTCATGTAAAGCTTTTTATCTAACAATGTCTGTTTTTATCTTGAATTGGATTAAAACTTCTTGTTAAACTGAGAGTTCTGTATTTCTCGCGTCTCAATAGCTACATCTCAAACCAACAGTTGTTCTTTTTTTTTCCCATCTGTGTATCCGTTTTCTTTTCCTCCGTATTGTGGTTCATCAATTATGCATGCACCTGTAAATTTCTCAAACATGAAATTTTGAAGGAAATCCTAATCATGTGCTAACCACAGACAAGGTCATTGATAAAGCGTGAGGATGCGGCCTAATTTAAATGATATCGTCTCTTTCGATGGTAGGAATTTATTTCTTCTCAACATCTACTTTTTCCCGAGGGAGTTCTCTATGATAAAATTATAATTAATTATGGTCTTTCATATTATGAACTTGATGAACCTGAGATATAAGAGGATGCCAAAAAAATGTTCATCATGGTAGAATGATGAGTAGGTGTCTATACCCGCAATCCGTGCATTAACTTTACGCCCTTATGGCACCTTAAAAAAGAGAAGGCAATAAATTATTATTCTACTACTCGTGATAATGTGGGTTATTATTCTACTATTTGTGATAATGTGAAAATAATTACGAGCATATATAGCTTCGGTCTTCCCCAAAATCTTTTGGGAGTTTAGAGCATGTAATTTTAAAACTGAATATTTAGTTCTCTATTCCTTAAAAGGAATACCACTTGCATTATTGTAAATAGATTAAACTTCTAATTTAATCATAAGGGCAACTAGAAACTAGTAAAAAGAAATTAAGTTATTGAAGGAAACTTTAAAGCTTAAAGTGTTAGGGAACACGCCACTAAGAACGCCTCAAACGGAGATGCAAAACACACCCAAACGATCTTGGAATCACAGAATAAAACCAGCAAACACGAATTCAATCACAGTACTCACAGATATAACGTGGTTCACTCTTACGGAGCTACTCCACGGTGCAACGACGACGTCCAATTCCTTTATATTCCTTTCAAGGTTACAAAGAAAAAAGATAAAAGAGAACACCCTCTCTTGATCATGATACACTCCAAGAATTCTCACAAACTCTCTATCTCTCAAGATCTCTCAATGATATTACTTATATCTGTATCTTTCTCTTTCTCTCTGCTACTAAGATGCTTTACAAATCAAACTTAGTGGGGTATTTATAAGCTTTCTCATGGTGGTAGGTGAACACTATTTGGGGCTAGGTGAACACTGTAGCAGGGGATAGATGAACACTATTTTTTGGATAGGTGAACACTATAGCAGAGGTAGGTGAGAAGGCTATCCACACAGCCTCAACGTTCTCAACAATCTCCCACTTGGAGAGTCTTCTCAATGAACTTTGTTTCTTGGTTGCATCATCTAGATGTCTTGTATCTTTGGCGTCTTGCACGACCCTCAACGTTCTCAACGAATGCCATATGAGGCTGCACACAGCTTCACCTTCATGAGCAGAATTGGCTTGATTAGCATATTGGCTGGATTGTACCTCTTATCAATCTTTACAAGCTTGAACTCGTTCCTGTTTTGTCACCTCCGTATGACATGATGCTTCACGTCAACATGCTTGGTCCGAGCATGGAATGCGTCGTTCTTTGAAAAGTGAATGACAATTTGACTGTCGCGGTGGATGAAGTATTTCTCAAAGCTTACCCCAAACTCAAGAAGAAAATCTTTAAACCATAGCAACTCCTTTCCTGCCTCTGCTGCAGACACGTACTCGGCTTCATCATTGACCTGATAATTCCACCGATTATGAAGAGCCTTTCTAGCTCTTGGAAGCTTTACAAAGAAGGTAGGTACTCTCGAAAAGGAACTTAGGAATAAGTATACTCTCTCATAATATCATTTTTGTTATTATCTTGATTTTTTATTATTCTTTTTGCAGGCTCATGCTCTCCGAGGAAGAACTAAGAATTACAAAGGCAAAAATTGCTCAGGTCTGAACATGTATATGTTCCTTCATTTTCCATATGTCTATTAACCTTCAATTATTTTCGCCAGCAATTTTTATTAAGAAGGTTGGGTTGCATCAGTAACGGAACTCTCAATGATATTATTTATATTTGGATCTTTCTCTTTTTCTCTCTGCTACTGAGATGCTTTACAAATTAAACTTAGAGGGCTATTTATAAGTTTTCTTATGGGGGTAGGTGAATACTGTAGCATGAGATATGTGAAGAATATGTAGGGGTAGGTGAACACTGTAGCAGTGGTACGTGATAAGGCTATCCACACAACCTCAACGTTCTCGACATAAAGTACTCATAAATTTTGACCAGAAAAAGCATGTATTTTTACAAAGATAAAATACACGCTTAAGTTGTAGAAACAAGGTAGAAATTACTTACTATCTTTCACCATAAAAGAGCTCAAGTTGTGAAGACAGAATTTTTTTATGTGTTTGTAGGAACATATTTTAATAAACTCAGAAACAATTAATTTCCCATGCCTCCCTACTTAATTTTATTTCTATCCTTTCAATTACTACGTATAGATAAAATTCCATAAATTTCTTTTAAAATATTGTATAAATAAAAATTTGGTAAATTTAATTGTTTTCTATTAAATAATTGCAAAGGAAAAAAAAATTATGTTTCCATCATCTTGTCATATTAGATCAATGGAAATACTTTTTAACTTTACTCCGTATAGTAAAATTTGTATTCGGGTAGCTCAACGATATATTCCCTATATCTCCCAAAAAACAAAAAAAAAACGAAAAATGAAAAATAATAAGAACTTTCTCCCTACTTGTGCGGTTACAGTCACGCGTTGGCGGAGGACCCGATCCCAGATGCTCAATACTTGGCGCGCATGCAGCCGGCGAGGCTACATCCTCTTTTATGCAGATCTCGAGATCACATCACCGAAACTGACCGCTGTCCTTCATCTCTAAATCTTAGCCTCGCAAAATTTGTTGTTTTTTTTTTCTATTTATATTTATTTAATTAAACTTGTGCTCCTTTTTTTTTTGTGGTGGGTATGTGAACGAGAGGCCCCTACTTGTCTGCCGAGAGCCTCGTCAAAAAGATAGAAAAAGGTAGTATTGTTTCAAAAATTACAAATAAATTATAAATTGTAGGAGGTTTTTTTTTTAAATTATCATTCAGACGCGCATGCGTTTACTTTGTGCCAGTTTAATATTGGATGGGGTTCCTTTTGAAAATTGAAATAGAGAGATTGAACTGAGATAATTAGATATTCTGCAATTATCAACTAATTGAAGAGAGGATTCCAATCTTTTAATATTAGCATAAATCCCGGTGTTTTCTTATGAATTAAGTTTTCTTAGTGTTGAATAACCTAAACTATGACGTGGAAATGATCGTTTTATGATTGAGCAGAATTTTTCTGTGACGACGGTGACACGGGATTAGATTGTTTTGGAATATTGAAAACATATAAAGATGAAATGCCACCTATAAACATTGGCTTCATTAGACCAATATCTTTCGTAGAAGGTAGGATTGGGATTTTATTTCTATTTTTATTATTTATTTATTTATTTATTTATTTATTTTTTGGTAGAAGGTTTGGATTTTATTTGGCTCCTCACAAGTGACATTGGCTAGACTGGAACTTTATCCTAATATTAGCACATGACCCTCTACCTTTTTCTATGTTTTATTTGTCCTTTTATCAATCAATTATCAAAAAATTGTTCCTTTTCTACTTTCATTTACATCACAAACTCTGATAGTTTGTTCTCGTACGATAAATTATCATCCATAAAATTTGGCTACCACATAATTTGTTATATCACACAAGAATCTGTTAAACATTTTGTGGTAAATGATAAGAACTATATGTATTATACAGTTTTTTTATTTGTAAAAGCTTGCATGTTGGTTAATCATTGAAAATTCTGCTGTTGCTTTTCCCGTCGATACTAATAATTAGATGTTTGCCTTTAAAATGATTAATTTTTCCTCAAGAAATGAACAAACCCCTCTACTCTTTTTTTTGGGGAATTGGCCAAAAATTTAGGGCTATTTTGCATTTTTGTTACAGCAGTCTACAAGGAAAGCATAGAATCAAACTCAAAGATTGTTTACAGGGTATTACTTGCAAATATCTTAATCACATCTTTGTTGGTTTGCAGGTTTTAATGGAAATTCCCATATAACTGCTAATTGGGCCACAAATTACTCAATTTATGCTTGGTGACATTCTAAATGGAAAATTGTTAATTTTTTTTATATGAGTAGTGATATTAAAAAAAAACCTCTTTACCTTTTTCCAAAGAAATGATGGCTAAGAGAGAAAATTATGGTGTCTAATCTCTTTACAATTATTATTAATTTTTTATATTTAATTTCTACATACTTCAAACGACTAATCCTGTAAAAGAAACCCATATAAATAAAAACAGATTTTATAATAGCTTCGTTTATGACGTATGATGTATATACATTGTATACTACTTTTAAAAATCTTTTTAGATTTTTCATTCACTCAAATGACTGTGTTGAAATTGATCCTATACTGCTTTGAATTAGCCTCAGGCTTAAAGATTAGCTTTAACAAAAGTGTTCTCATTGCTCTTGAGAAAAATGAGAATTTACAGCAGAACCTGGCATATATGATGAATTGTAAAAGTGGTAATTTTCCCATTACTTATCTTGGGATTCCTTTAAGACCAGGAAAATTAAAAAGAGATGACTGGTTTCCTTTGATTGAGAAAATTGAGAAAAGATTAGCTATTTGGAAAGGTAGGTCTCTATCAAGAGGAGGAAGATTGGTTTTGATTAACTCAGTTCTCTCTTCTATGCCAATTTTCTGGTTATCTTTTTTCTTATTCCCAGCATGGGTTATTGAAAAAATTGATTTTATGAGGAGAAGATTTTTATGGACTGGAACTTTGGAACATAAAGGATGCTCTAATCTGGTTAAATGGGAAGAGATTTGTAGACCAAAACACTGTGGTGGTTTGGGGATTAAAAATTTAAAAGTTATGAATAAAGCTCTTTTAGGAAAATGGCTTTGGAAATGGTTCCATGGCAACAATGAACTTTGGAAACAAATTAGTCATCATAAATATTTTGATTGAAAATCATGGTCTGAATATCTTTATTTGGATAAAAATCATTTAACTTGGTTTTGGAAAGTTTTCTGTTCTAATCTTGACAGCTTTCTTTGCAGTACTCAAGTGGAAGTTGGAAATGGAAAATATACTCTTTTTTGGCTTGATAAATGGTTAGATTCATCTACCCTTGCTTCTCTTTTTCCATCTTTGTTCAAACTCTCTTCATCTCCTTATGCTACTGTTTATAGCCTGAGAATTAAAGAGGATGGTATTTGGAGATGGGTCCTTCATTTCAAAAAACAATTAATTGGGGATCTTGTCCTTCAGTTTTTTAAACTGTTGAATATGCTTAATCTGAAAAAATTATCAGAAGTGGAAGATAAAAGAAGATGGTTATGGGATAATAAAAAAACTTTTTCAGTGAGATCCTTTTATCATTTCCTTATTGATGGGGGTTTAAGATATGAGTGTGCAAGGGTATGGGAAATCCCTATTCCTCTGAAAGTCAAATTTTTAGTTTGGCTGGCTTTTAGACAAAGTCTGAACACAAAAGATAATTTGGAAAAAAAGGGAATTGGTATAGACAAAATATGTTGTTTATGCTCTAAGGAGTCTGAAAATCATTCTCACATTTTTATTAAATGTGAGTTTGTTCAATCTATCTGGAAACTAATTCAATACAATTTACATATTGAAGAGGACTTCAGGTTGGAGTCCTTGAAGATCTTGTGGCTGAAATGGAATAGTAGTTCTTTTGGGGAAGCTAGATTGAAAAGAGATATATATATCTGCTGTCTCATTTGGTGTATCTGGCAAGAACGCAATGATAGATTGTTTTCTAACAAGAGGAGGAATTACATTATGATTCTTCATAAGATCATAACTTTCTCAAACCTATGGTTAGGTATGAAAGGGGAGTCTGCCAGAACCACAAGGCTACAGGAAAGGAGGAAGAAGAAAATGGCGCTTGAAATGGGAACCAGGATTGCTGCTGAAGTGGATGACAGAAGTTCTGGGGAGATAATTCCGCTGGAATGATCCATGTCAACAAATCTTTTTGGGATAGTTGCTTCTTAACAGCTAAACTTTTAGTAGTTCTTGTTTTGTTGTTATGTGATCTTACAGCTATTTTTGGGTTTTTCTTTAACTGGTGGTTAGAGCTTGGGAAATCAGTTTCAGTGATATGTAGTTAATCCTGAACTTGGTTGCATATCCTAGGTTGGGGATATGTACATATTATGTAACAACCATTTTGTTATTTAGCTGGCTGGGATATCTGTTTGGTATCCCATCCTTTTTCTCAAAAAAAAAATGATCTCTTTTTAAGAACAAGTACTTTTTGATGGGGGCTAAATAAATATTTTCGAGGTGGGAGTTAACACGTCATTAATAAAATCACAGCGGGGTTAGTACACCAAAAATACCCATCCTAGATTTGTAAATAATTTCTATGGATGTTAAATGTAAAACAAACAAAAACATTGGGTTCTAAGATAAAAACACCCTCCCCAGTTCCGTGGCGGCCAAGGGGAAAAAGAAAGCCCTAGGTTCCCAAATAGTGAACCGACGCCTATAAATAGTAAAGGAACCATCGTTTATTTCTTATTTAAAGCCCCTAAATTTATTTCACCAATTCCTCATCGAATTGATTGATCGATCTAGGGTTTCTTTTGGGCCTAGTAGCTCTCTGATTCTTCTTCATCCTCTCTGTTTTCATTCTCTTTGATCTGTTGAGGAGAAGAAGGGTTGGGATTCTAGGGTTTCTCGACTAATTGAGACTATTTTATTTTATTGTAAGTTCTCTCTTCTTGATCTTCCTTTTATTTGATTGTACGATGATGTATGTTTTGTTCTTTGATCTAGATCTGGTTAATTTTGTAATTTATCTCTGATTTTTTGGGGAAATACTATAGATGTCAAAATTAAATCTTTTTTTTTGAATCCTATAGATGTCTACCACGAAAATAATTAGATTTTAGAAGAAACATTATGTAAAATTTGCCTTTTTGATGCTTTATAGGTAATGCCCTTTAGAAATTGAAGGATAGACGTAGGTTTTATAGTTCCACGCGTTTCTGTAGCTTGTATGGTCTATCTTCCTTTTATTTAAGGTTCAAGATTATTGTAGAGTATTTAAACCATCAAGGAATTTTCTTCTATTGTTTTGTAGTGATGATATGCCATCTGTAGATTAAAGGTTATTTTTTGAGTGTTTGATTTTCTTACTTGGGAATTTAAAGTTTTTTGATGCTAAGAAAATTTTGTCAAGATCTTGTGAAAAAAATTGTCTGAATTGTCATAGAATCCTATTATTGATCAATCTCCATATATATCTCCATACAATCTGTTATTTTCTCATTTATGTTTATGGTTATCTTATAACTACTTCAAATTCATTTTTATACTGGACAGATTATATTTGTGCATGGAAGATTATTCCATATCATGCATTCTTTATGTGATATAGAGGTTGGCTAATTGAAGAAGTTGTACAATTTTTTTAAAAATATAAATTTCTTTATGTTGAATATGCATTTTTTAACCTGTTCAATTTTCTGAAACTACAATTTTAAAATTGGTTCATTATTTTTTTATTGTTATCAAATTGTTGGATCGAACAAATGAATAGAGTTAAGAGTCTTAAAAGCTTTTCTTTGCATGCAGCGTTGGGAGAATCCTTCATTGATGATAGTTCTGATTTGCAATTTTGCATATTATTTCAATGTTGTTCTTGATATCTTTTGATTTTTGTAGGCATGAAGAAAAGTGATTGGAAACTATTCATATCTTATTCTAACTAACAACAATGTTATTACCTAATGTTTAGATGACCTACATAAAACGCTAGAGTACTAACAACATTTTACTAGCTAATGTCTTCACTTTCTCCGCAATTAGTTCTTTTTGTTCTTAAAACTTCACAATTCTTGACCTTTTTTGTTATATAATATTCCTGTTCTGTTTAAGTTTAATCCTTTTTTCCATTCACTTGGGTTAGTTGAATAATATTCTCCCTAATTACTATTCTTATTTACAATGTTTAAGAAAAATTGTGGTTCTATGTAAAATGGATCACGTTCCTATTCCTACTGTAGAGTCTTGTTTCAGTAGATGAATATGTTGATATGTATTTGATGCAAATGGATATCTATAGAATACACCCAATTGTTCAAATTTATATATTCATTCAAGGTGCATGTGTCATGTATGGTTTATTACTCGAAGTTTCTATTATAATCTTGCTGAGGTATGCATCAATGGGCTATCGTTTACATGACTATTTAAAATACATTTTCACGAGGCTTATATGTTCTTGCAATTGATGCTATGTGGAAGCAGATATTGTTATTGCTTTCTCTTTGTTCTCTTTTCTGAAACTTTCTTAGTTATTATGTTTCTATTCTAACTATTTAGTAGATGCCCTAAATAAATTGTTGGAGTAACTCTCGTTTCTTCTGGTCTTTTTCAGTGTTGCAGAATTTGTGAATGTTTTAATGGAGTCAAAAGGTGGCAAGAAGAAGTCTGGCAGTAGTAGTTCCATGCAGTACGAAGCTCCCCTTGGCTACAGCATTGAAGACATTCGACCCAACGGAGGAATCAAGAAGTTCAGATCTGCTGCTTACTCCAACGTAAGAAAGAAAAACGATGGAAACTTAGCTTTTGTGCTCTTATTTTTCTCGTTTCCATCTTTTTAACGTGTAACTTTTGCTCATGTTGCAGTGCGTCAGGAAGCCATCCTGATATTCCTACAGTCAAACCTCAGTAGTTTAGGATTTCCTGCATTTTTAGTTAATTTTTGCCATAAGGTCACTCTCTGGCTAGCTGCTTTCTAATAACCAAACCATTCTTGCTATCCCTCCCCCTTGTTTTTCTCTGTTCCCTCCATCAGCTTTTGACCTTACTTTCAAATCAATGGCAATCATGATTCCCAACTCCACCAATGCACAACCCTCTCCCATCGGGTTTGAGGGCTTTGAGAAGCGCCTAGAGATCACATTCTCTGAGGCCCCCCTCCTTGTTGACCCCCATGGTCGTGGCCTCCGAGCTCTTTCTCGTGCACAGATCGACTCAATTCTTGATCTAGCTCGGTGCACCATTGTTGCCCAGCTCTCAAACAAGGACTTCGACTCCTATGTTCTCTCTGAATCGAGCCTTTTCATTTATCCATACAAGATAATCCTCAAGACATGTGGCACTACGAAACTCCTCATGTCTATTCCCAAGATCCTCGAACTTGCATCTGAGCTCTCACTTTCTCTTCAATCCGCTAAGTACTCGCGTGGAACCTTCATCTTTCCTGGAGCTCAGCCTTCTCCTCACCGCAGTTTCTCAGAGGAGGTTTCCACCCTTGACAATTTCTTTGGCAACTTAGCATCGGGTGGAAATGCTTATGTCATCGGTGATCCGGCATCACCCAACCGAAACTGGCACATCTACTATGCGACCGAGAAGCCCGAGCTTCCGATGGTGACTCTTGAAATGTGCATGACTGGACTCGACACTGAAAAGGCATCCATCTTCTTCAACAACAACTCGGAGAATGATACTCTGACGAAAAAGATGACCAAGCTTTCTGGGATCTCAAACATTATTCCTGAGATGGAGATATGCGACTTTGAGTTTGAGCCCTGTGGGTACTCCATGAATGGAATCTCTGGACCAGCAGTCTCAACTATCCATGTAACGCCCGAGGATGGGTTCAGCTACGCGAGCTATGAGGCCATGGGCTTTGACCCCATGAAACTTGAATTCAATGCCTTAGTTGAGAGGGTGCTTACTTGCTTTGGCCCTACTGACTTCTCTGTTGCTGTGACCATCTTTGGTGGTCGAGGGCAAGCTGGCTCCTGGGGGCGCAAGGTTGATGTTGATGGATATAATAGAATGGATACAGCGGGGCAGGAGCTCGATGGTGGTGGATTGTTGATGTACCAGAGCTTCTCTTCGTCGACGGCGATGGTGGGGTCACCGAGGTCCATATTCCATTGCTGGAGCGGAGATGAGTCGGAGGAGGAGGAGAAGAACGGGAGGGATGAGAAGGGAGGATTCTGAGATGTTGCTTCTTGTTTCTTCTTCTACAGTACGCTTGTTGTTGTTGCTGTTATGATTATGTTGGTGTGTTTCTTTCGGCTTATTGGAGCAGCAAAGCCAGGTTGATCTTACCTTCTACGGTGTTCAAATAAGGCTTATGATGTGTAGCCTAGAGCTTCTACTCTACTGTGGGTCTTTATTGCTGAGCTAAGCTTTCTTGTGTCTCGGAGTCTGTAACAAATACCTGCGTTTTTTTTTTTAAATTTAAAAGTCGTGGTTTGGTCATTTTCTGTCCGTGGTTTGCTCAGATCTGTGATTCATTTTTTGCTTGTGAAAAGCTTGGACGTCTGGTAGCGGTTAAGTTTGGAGCATTCTTATTTATGATCCCAGCTGACGTACCTCATCAATCTATCAAGGTGGCAGCTGAGGGATCAACTCCGCGTTTTGTTCGATGCCCCGTGACAGATGGTAGATGAGCTGTCCTGGGTGGTTTGATTTCGTTGGATTTGATTACCGGGGCTCAATTGTACGGTGCTTATTCTTAGATTATTTGCATTTCATCATAATTTTGTTAAAACTAATTACTAGCAAACACATGTAAGGGGGGAGTCTTGAAGATTTATCTCAACAATCGCAAATGTAGTCTCAGAACTACATAATGCCTTGACTTCACAAAAGGACCATCTTTTGAAACTATACGATCCTACTAACGTACAATGAAGTCTAGAAGTTCACTAATTGCCTACATTGTCGAAACATCTATCATCTATACTATAGGCTAAATTACCATATTGATATTCTGACTTGAACCTTTCTTTCGATTTAATATTTATTTTATCCTTTCCCATCAGTATGATATTTTAACTTATGCTCGGATGACGATAAGATTCTTTTTCTCGTCGACGGCGAGAAAGAATGGACCCTATTGATGATAGGGAAATGAAGAAATGTTCAAAAAAAAAAAAAAAAAATCAAAAAAGGACCTTATGGTGATGGGGACACAAGTTGAAATACTATATAGACGCAGAAATAAACACCATCTTGAAAAATATGTTCAAATTAAAATACTAATCTGGTAATTTAGCCCAACACTATATACTAAGAAAAACCCATATTTTAATTTGAGTGTTCAAGAAATTCCAAAAAATGTCCTCGCATTTTTTTAAAAAATTCAAAAAAAAGTACCCTATACTTGCAAAGGAAATGATCTCATCCTTTCGAAAATCAAACCGGCGCATCCTCGTATTGTTGTTTCATGCACGCGCGTTAGGCGTGTTGGTAAATTAAAAAAATCGAATAAATAAATAAGTAAATAAAATAATACAATAAACGTCACGATCTTTGCACGTGGGCAGTTAAAAGCGGGTAATTGGTAAACTTACCCGAACCTTAGAATGTACCCGACTCCACTTACTCCCACCATCGGGGGCAGCTTCCCAATTTCTGCTCTCCCTCGAAAATATTTCATTCTAGGGTTTTCATTCTCTCTCAAAAAATATTTCATTCTAAAATTCCTTTTTGGAGGGTCTCGATCGAAGAGACCGCGATGAAGTTGACGGTGAAGACTTTGAAGGGTACTCACTTCGAAGTCAAAGTGCAGCCCAACGATACGGTGAATCATTTATTCAGTTTTCCCTTTTTATTTCCTCGTATGAACTAGTTGCACATTTGATCTATCTACTGAATCGAAGCGTTTAATTGCGTTATCTTTATTTTTGATGTTTCCTCCTTTAATGAACGCAAAGAGTTATATTTTTTTTGGAAAAAAGTTAGCATTTTTAAGGTGTATTCTACATCTCTGAGTTGTAAATAGCACATATGGTCGATTTCTAGTCAATTTTATCTCTGAGTTGGATTTGATGACTGGATACTCTGATGGATGAGTTCAGTTGTATGGTGCTTAATGATATTTGTATTTCACCAAAATTTTGAAAATATTCGTTTAAAACTTATTAGCAAACCCATGGAAGGGAGTCAAATATTTATCTCAACAATCGCATTGTACTCTCAGACCTACATAATGTGTTCACAAAATGACTTTCTTTTGAAACTATACGGTCCTACTAATGTACAATAACATTGAAGAGTTCACTAATTCGGTACATTGACACCTTTACAAACTCTACACCATTACAGTGTTCGCAATTTCTCAGAATACGTAAATTCATCGACATCTATACTACAAGCTAAATTACCATATTGATAATTTGATATTCTAACTTGACCATTTTTTCAATATAATATCTATTTCTGCTTCAGCGTTAATATGCTCTTTTAACTTGTGCTCAGATGACAATAAGAACCTTTTTTCTCATCGACGGCCAGAATTGCGGCAAATCTTACTCTTTTGGGGAAATTTTTTCCTATCCCCTGACCTATTAAATTTATGAAATCTACATCCTCCTCTTTCAACCTCCCGCAATTCAAATTTCTTCAACTTCTTTACACAATAAGATACTCCTTTCAGCCACCTCTTTCTCCTTCATCCTCACCAACTTGAACCTAAACCCTAATCCAAACCCCATCAATATCTATTCAAGTCAATACCAATTTAAGTTAAGGTTTAGGTTTAAATTGGGGAATTTTGAAGGAGAAAGAAGGAGCTTTATCGATGAGAGGGAAATGAAGAGTGAAGGAGGATCTTATTGGATAAATGGATAGAAGAAATTTGAATTGGGGGAGATTGAAGGAGAATGATGGTGTAGATTTAATAATTTTGATAGGTCATAGTTGGAAAAAAGTTCGAAAAAAATACATTCTACCATATTGGAAAATAGTAAAATACCATATTGACGCAAAAATAAATACTATATTGGAAAACAGAGTCAAATTAGAACACTAATCTGGTAAATTAGCCCAATAGTATATAACTAAGAAAAACCCATATTTTGATTTGGGTGTTTCAGAAATTCTACTAAATGTTCTCTCATTTAAAAAAAATCAAAAGCAATACCCTATACTTGCAAAGGAAATGATCTCATCCTTTCAAAAATCAAATTGGAACATCCTCATATTGCTGTTTCGGGCACGCATCATGTGCATTGGAATACGTAGTTAACAAAAAAAGTAGTTTCGAATAATAAATAAATAATAAAATAATTCGATAAACGTTACGATCTTTGCACATGGGCAATTAAAAGCGGGTAGTTGGTAAACTTACCCGAATCTTAGAATTTACCCGACTCCACTTGCTCCCACTCTTGAGCAGCTCCCCAATTTCTCCATTCCCTAAAAAATATTTCATTCTAGGGTTTTCATTCTCTCTCAATCCAACTCCAAGGAAATTCCTTTTTAGAGGGTCTCGATCAAAGAGACCGCTATGAAGCTGACGGTGAAGACTCTGAAGGGTGCTCACTATAAAATCAAAGTGCAGCCCAACGATAGGGTGAATCATTTCTCCAAATTTTCCCATTTTTGTATGAATTAGTTGTACATTTGATCTATCTACTGAATCGAAGCGTTTAATTGCGTTATCTTTATTTTTGATGTTTCCTCCTTTAATGGATGCAACGTGTTATAATTTATTTGGAAAAAAGTTAGCATTTTTAAGGTGTATTCTACATGTCTGAGTTGTAAATAACACATATGGTTGATTTTCTAGTCAATTTTACTCGAAAATATAGGAATAGCAAGCGATGCTCGAGTTTGATAGCCAAGTGAATTTGGAAATGTAGAAAGTTATGAGTAAAAAACACATATATTGTTTCAGTTTTGGGAGATATGATGCGTGTTAATCACCCTCACCAACCACCAAAGATACGCATACAAATAGACATAACTCCAACTTGCCCACCATTTATATGGATTGATTTCTTAACTCGTATAAAATCTGGCATATATTTGATTTATTTTCTGCAGCTTTCCGTGTTACAATAATAAAATTGATAGATAACAGTTGACACTTCACAAGAAAGTAGTAAAACTATAACTTACATGACCAGGTTGGAGGCTATTATAATAGTTTAATATAGGTTTCGTAACTCAAAAGTACTATTTTTTATTTCGAGTGCGGTGGAGAGGGATGAGATTTTAGTAAGGCACAAGTGTATTAATGAATTGTACAGTGCATACTAGAAATCTAAAACTATTGACTCGCTAGAAATAAACGGTGAAGCTGTTATAAACACAAGCCTTCACAAAGTTTTAACAGTTTAAAGGGTTCATATCCATACTCTCAATGTTCTCGTCAGTCCACGTTGCTTGCTTCGTGTATTAAGGTCTGAAAACTAAGATTGCAGTGCATGCTAAACTGCACAGATAAATGTCGTACCTTATGGAAGCTTAAAAAATTTACTTTATGGAATCATACATGGAAATGAAATAAAAATGTTTCAATTGGAGGAGGATTTCTATAAACAAAGAACTCATTGGTTGGTCAGCTATCTATAGTTAATTTGAAATTGTTCAAAGCACATTTCTTGTCTGTACTCATTATAAACTGGAGATTAAGAAGATTAATATAGATCTACTGTCATGGTTGTCTATCATTTGTCTGGCCCATTAGTGGCAGCAAATTGTAAGCTTTGCTTTGCACATATGAATGCATATAGACACCTGTAAATTACACATATAAATGGACCCTATGCAAGACGAGGATGTTATCTGGGACTACAACTGGTCAATATCTATCATTTGATGGCTCTGGATTCTGATTTGAACTGTAAAATTTGTTGCCAGTGTTTGTTTTATAAGTAGCTTCATGCCTTACTTCTTGTCCCAGCTCATAACTTGCTGACTTTTAATTCTTGTCCTGTAGATTATGGCCGTGAAGAAAAACATTGAGGAAGTTCAAGGGAAAGATAATTATCCGTGGAGCCAACAGTTATTGATCCACAATGGGAAGGTTTTAAAGGACGAAAGCACATTGGAAGAGAACAAAATCAGTGAAGATGGTTTTCTCGTTGTCATGCTTAGTAAGGTATATTTCCCCTTGAAAGTGTTATACTGCCAATTTTCGCTTGTAAAAGGTTGTTTTTATCTTTTTGGGTCATTTATAATCATAAACCCAGTTTATCTGGCAATATAGGAGTATAAAATCACAAATTTGTTAAAATGACCTTTGTAAAGTGTTATATGCTAATTTAGCTTGTAAAGTTCTTTAGTCTTTTTTAGGTCATCGATGATCACAAACTCGGTTTATCTCGCACTATAGGGGTACAAAATTCCAAACTTGCTACAACTGCCTAGTAAATCTCGAATCAAATTTGTTGATATATAATTAGTTAAGATTTTAATTTTCCCCAAGATTATTGACTTTAAGTTTTTATGAGGGGAAAAGTCATTCT